AATTCTTTTTGCAAATTAAAAATAAAGATAAATTCATTTATCAATATAAATTTAGTATCACAATGTTAAATAATTAATTATTTTTCACTTGAATAAAGAAATAGCACCAGTTGCGTTTTTTTAAGGAAAACGCTCCAGAAGCGAAATCCTATAAGGAAAACGCTCTGGAAGCGAAATCCTTCAACGAAAATGCTTCAGAAGTGAAGTCCTTCAAGGAAATCGCTCCGGAAGCGAAATCCTTCAAGGAAAACGTTCTGGAAGCGAAATCCTTTAAGGAAAACGCTCTGGAAGTAAAATCCTTCAAGAAAAATGCTCTGGAAGTGAAATCCTTCAAGAAAAACGCCCTGGAAGCGAAATCCTTTAAGAAAAATGCTCTGGAAGCGAAATCCTTCAAGGAAATTGCTCTGGAAGCGAAATCCTTCAAGGAAAACACTCCAGAAGCAAAATCCTTAATGGAAAACGCTCCAGAAGGAAATCCTTTATGGAAAATGCTCCGGAAGTAAAATCCTTTATGGAAAACGCTCCAGAAGTGAATCCTTCAAGAAAATCACTCCAGAAACGAAATCCTTCAAGGAAATCGCTCTGGAAGCGAATTCTTTTAAAGAAAATGCTCCAGAAGCGAATTCCTTAATGGAAAACGCTCTGGAAATGTTCCTCTCAAAGGAAATCATTCTGGGAACGCATCTCTTGATAAGAAACGTTTCTCTTGACGGTTTTTCATTTCTAAATATAAATGCAAGCCGAACGAGCCAGCTTGCAAGCCAGCTTGACTTAACTTGGCTTGTCAATTGATCTCTACAATCTGAGCCAAGCCGAGCTGAAAAAAAAGTGACTCAGCTCGAGCCGGTGGCAATCCAAGCCAAGCCAGCTTATGCAAAGCTTTAGTTACTAGAAATATAAGTTAGTACAAAAATCGTTTATATTTCAATCAAAATATTGTAACTTACATATATTATGCTTCTGGATCCAGAAAACTATTTAAGTTTCCGTAATGTTGCTAAAATATAAAATATAGCATAAATATTCTACTAGGTAATTGTTCACTTATTATCATCTAGTTCGTCATGTTTTTCATTATCATCAAATTCATCATAGTCACCTTCATTCTTATTTGATTCGTCAAGTTAATATTTATCAAGTTCATATTCATCAAGGCATCTTCATCAAGTTCTTTCTTCATCTTCATCACCAAGATCATTTTTCTCGTTAAATTCTAAGTTCATCTTCATTATCAAGTTCATTATATTTTTTTAAACTAGATTCGTTAAGACCTTCATTCAGTTTATCCTCCATATGAATATCTTCAGATACATTTCTTTCAATTAATATTTGCAAAAATACCTTTAATTTACCATGACCGTGCATAATATAAGTACGATGTGAATTAAATATATTCAAAACATTTTATTAAGCGAAAGAGTTGTGTGAAAAGTTTAATTGATATTATATCAAATTTACTAAACTAATAAAAGTGAATAAAAGTGAAAACAATTTATTAAAGTATAAACTAACTAATTATAGTATATGTTATCAAATTAAAAAGGTATACGAAAAAAAAGTTATATTAAATTAAACTAGATGAGCTGATTATAGTATAAATTAACTAAAAAAAAAAAAAAAAATACATAAAATATAAACTAGCTAATTATAGTTTAAATAAACTAAAAAATCAAACTAGCTTTTTTATAAGCGAAAAAAATACTATTTAAGATTGATTATCAAAAAAAAAAAAATAAAAATCTCTATTAAAAATATCTTTCTATATTTTATTTATATAAAAATTCTATAATGAAATTCTTTTTATATTTCATTTATGTAAATATTTAACAATTAAAAATACCTCAAACTCGTGGATGTAGTAGTACTAGAAAGGAAAATCTTCTTCTAAACAATCCAAAATCAGACATGGATGTAAATGAAATAATACATCCCAAGAACAATTTTTAACTGTTAACTGTAAATGATACTACAGACGTATTTAGAATATAGTGATTATGGTAGAGATTTAATAAAATCATCATTATCTCAGCCTTTTAATTTGATACTTCTAAATAATACGAGTACTTCTATAGATTTAGATGATGATGTATCAGCTTCACGTCCTGAATCTAGGAATTTAAAGATATTAATTTCTAAAAGCGAAATCCATAGAAATATAAATGAACTTGATAATGCATCAGCTCCTTTGCATTCGGGATCAATAGATTTTAATACGTAGCTTCTTTAAATGAAATACATAAAAATACAGATGAAAATTCATCAACTCCTTTTATGCTTAAAAACTAGAAATAGTATTACATCAATTCCTTTACATTATTAGTAATAATCTGTTTGCGTCACTAGATGACTGCACTAATTAATGTCACCAATGATCACTAGGAAAATCGTGATCATCATTTTCACTGATTTCATTACTATTACGGTTATCATTGTGATATTCGTTTTCTTTATTTTATTTATTATCATTATTTTATCTGATATAATTATTTTCGTAGTTATATTTAATTTCGCTATTATATTTATTATCTCTGTCTTATAATTGTATTTTATATAAATATCCTGTATTGTCGTTTTGACAAACTGACAAGTTTCTATCGTACAATTAATAAAGTATAATCTTAACAATCTAAAAACTATATCTTTGCCAATATCTATTTCCTTAAAAACATAAATCATCAATAAAGATGACCTGACCCTTCAACTTAAATAAATTCGTGTTTATTTCTTTCATAGTTTACA